CAGTCAGGTGAGGGGACCAGATTAGTGTGGGAGCAATTAGAGAGGAGTGTACCAGCCAGCCCATGGGGGGAGTTGCCCTGCTCGGGATGGGTTGTCTTCGGCCCTCAGCTCAGGGCATGCAGTCACGGCCCTCTGCCCGGGGCGGGCTGTCCTCGGCCCTCGGCTTGGGGCGAGCCATCATGGCCCTCTGGGTGAGCTCTTCAGTCCCCAGATTGTGCCATCTGACCCCTGGGTAGAAAAAAAAATGCCTAGGGTATCCAAGGATTTTATCTAGGCTACTTTCTGACACCCTCTCCCCCCAGTAAACCTGAGAGCAACACCCGCAAAACCCCTCTATTTGTAACTCACAAGTTTGTTCTCTCTAGGTTTGCCCCCTTTCCTACAGGTAACCTTACCACTGAGTTTTACTTCAGACCTTACCCAGAACCCAGTGCCAGTGACAAAAAGGAAATACAACTGCCAGCTAAAGAAGCAAAGGAGGATGGAGCCTCTGGGTTCAACCAGCCATTCCCACTGGACCCACCTGGGAAAACATTTTGCAGTCCAGAGGGGAGCAAATGACAAGAAAAGATCTTCTAACAGAACAAGAAGGCAAGCAGCCTTAACCCAAGATCACCAGTAAGGTGATAAAGTGTCCTCTCTTTCTCCGTTCACATCAACGCTCCTGTTCAGCATGAAGAAGCCAGAGAGTCGGCATCCAGTTCCCAAATCAGTAAGACAGTTGATTTAACTACCATTGGAAAATGCTTGTCATTTTCCTGTAGCATCTGGTCCCCACTGGATCACTTTCATTTCCTTCACCTGCTCCCTCCACCAACCAATTTCTGCAGCTCTGCAACTGCATCCCCTGCACATCCTCACCCTTCTGCCCCCAACCCTCACCTCCTTGTACCCCCAATTTGTTTTTTCCCAATAAAAATTTAAAAAAAAAAGAATTACAGAGAATTACAGCCTCATAGATGCAATGGAGGGTCAACTATGAGTTGGTTTCTACTGGACAGCAATGAGTTTGGGACTATGTAAATGATGTTAATATTACAGTAAGATGAACGTCTTGAGATACAATGATGTATGAATAGAACTGCAAGCTCTAAAAGACATTAAGAACTCTGGGAACTTAGTGGTAAAGAATTGCTTTGCCAGCCGAAAGGCACCCAGTTCAAATTCATTAGCTGTTCTGCAGAAGCAAGACAGGCAGTCTCCTCTCATGCAATTTATTGTCTCTGAAAACCTGCTGAAGGGTCAGCTATGAGTTGGTTCCCACGCAATGGTAGCTAGATAAGATAGAGAAAAATAAATTTACCAGGAGTCAGAGAAGGACAAACCATCTTCATAAAATGAAAAATATGGTTTTGGCTGGAAAAAACACATCAACTGTGCCTTTAAAACCCATGGCCATGTTTATTTTCCTTTATTTCTGCAAAGGACTACTTTCTTCACATCTAGTTTTTTTAAGGGAATGTAGGATAGAGAAGGAGCAAGACAGAACATGTGTATATAAACAGAGGCAAAGATACACATTTTGGAAGGATCTGCCTGCAACTCCAACTGTAATCTTTGAGGACTTTCCCTTTGGATATACTGACACAATTACAGATGTAGTGTAATAAAATACTCACTCCTGGAAAACTGTTGTTGTCACTGTTAGGTTTCATCAAGTCATGTACAACTCATAGCAACTATCTGGACAGATCTGAGCCCTGTTCTATCTTCTACCATCCTTATCATGTTCAACACATTTGAGCCCATTGCTGCAGTCACTGTATCAATCCATCTAGCTGAGGGACTTCTCTCCTTCATTATTCCTCCACCTTTCCAAGTAGATCACCTTCCAAGGCATAGCTTCTTCTAGAAGCATGTCCATAGAAATTATTTCATTATCCCACAATACAAAATTCTTCAGTATACTTCCACAACTTCTATAGAAAAACAAGACTCTGTTCTTGTGTTCATAAAGAGTATAATCTGGTTTTAAGTTTCAACCTACTGAAACCATTTCCTCAAAAGCCACTTATTACATTCTGTGGGTTTTCTCTAAACTTCAAATCACTGACCTCTTCAGCCTCTGACACCAGTAACCACATCTTCCTTGAAATTTCCTCTTCCTGGTATCTATATTACAACCCTTGTCCAACTCTCTCCTTAGCTCTCAGACCTCAGTTTTGTTTTTTATTGTTGTCTAATAAAATCATCTACTTTGCTATATCAAAATTCATTCTATTTAATGTTTTATCAATGAAAAAGCTCTCAAAATAAAAAGCCCAGTACTCATCTTATTCCTGAGTTCCAGGCATCTTAACTACGTTACTGTTGGTTTAAGTTGGAACTGAGTCATAGCTCACCTTCAGTAGGTTTTCAAAGGACATAAATCATACAGGAGAAGAAGGTCTACCTTTCTCCTGAGAAGCAAATGGTAGATTCAAGAAAACCTGCCTATGAGTTGGCAAAACAACTCTGGACCACAAAGCCACCATATAACACTAACAATAAAGCCAAATACTATCCCAAACAAGTTCTTTACATTCCCTATTTTAGTTCATAGTAGCAATATTCTTTCAGAACCAACACTGAAAATTTTAAGAATTAAGTTTGACAACTCCTTCATTCTCACAACCACTCATTCAGACAGGGTTATTAAAAGATTAGTTACTGAAAAATAATTGAAATAAAATCTGTAACATTAAAATTCATCTTTGAACACTTAACTTTTATCAAACTACAGCACATTGTAAGGATATTATTTTGCCACACATACAAGGAAGATAGTATCATTCCTCTGAGTATATCGAAATAAATAGGTGACTCAAAACTCACTGCTATCAAATCAGTTCCATCTCAAAGTTACCTTCCATTGAGCTTCTGAGGCTATAAATCAAAACAGGAGAAGATTGCCCATCTTAATACCAAAGAGCCACTAGTGAATTTGAACTACTGGATACTAATAGCCTTTGAGTTAACAGCATATATTACCCTACCATTACATAACAGCCTACATTACCCTACCTCTCTAAACAGATGATAATACACTGAAAATCCTAAGACATTATACAAATTGTACTGTTATTCCATTTACCATCTATCATAGTTGTATAAACTATTTACTTACTTATTAAGTATTTATTAACTTTTTTCTTTATTCTTTCTGCAAATTTTTTCCAAGCCACCTGTAAGTTAGGCACTATACTTACTGCTTAACATCTGAAAAAACAATAGGAAAACAGACAGAATGCCTAACCCTACACACCTTATAAAAGACACAAAAAAAATCAGTAAAACGCACATGTAGACATGGAAAGAGACTTTAAGGAGGCATCCCAGAAAAAAAACATATTAATGCAAGATGCAACACAAAATGTCAAATAGGAGAAAGTACAGTAAGAAATTTCCACAATTTGGAGGTAATAGTGATGAAGCTTCGCCTCACAAACTTCGGGCATGTTACAAGGAGAAACTGTTCCTTGGAGAGGGACATGATACTCAGAAAGGCAGAGTGTCAGTGAAGGAAGGCAAGACCTTCAACCAGGTGTACTGGCACCGTGTCTGCCACAATGGGCTCTAGTGTGTCAGGAAGTCTGAGGATGGCACAGGATAGGCAATGTTCAGGTCTCTTGTTCACAGGGTCACTATGAGTTGTACTCAATTTGATGTTACCTGAACAATAATAAGGAATTAGAGAGAGTAGGAGGAAGAAAAAGAAACAACTGCCAGAAAATGTACCAACATATACAAAAAATGAACTTCCTAATTAGGTCACCCCTTTTTCATCATCTGCAAAAGTGTTCCATTTATATTTTTCTCTCTTTAAAATCTTTCCACACCTGTCTGACAGTGCTTATCAAAATCATATGCATTCTTAAAGCTCAAATTAATAATATATGCCCAACTTCAAGAACAGTCATCTGACTCACGTTTTATAAATCATCATAAATTCTGACTCATAAGATACTTTAAGACAAAGATTAACTGCCTCTATATGGGTTCCACAGCTAGAATCTTAACAAGTGCAAATGCCAAGTCTTTCTCCTGCAGAGTCGTATTGTTGTTGCTGTTGTTAGGTGTATTCAAGTCAACCACAACTCACAGCAACCCCATGAACAACAGATTGGAACCATGCCTTACACTGTGCCATCATCATGACCTCTACCATCCTCATCACCTCCACCATCTTCAAGCGTATTGTTAAAGTTGTTGTGTCAACTAATCCCCTTAAGGACTTTCCTTTCTCTTGCCGATTTTATCTCTTTCCCAATATGATGTCTTTTCTCAAAAACTAGCCTCTCATGATAAACAAAGAGTGTTGAGATTAGGTTTCAACATCTTTTCCTTTCATTGTTGTTATGTGCCATCGAGTTGTCTACGACTCATAGCAATCCCTATACACAGTAGCTCTAAACCCTGTCTTAGCCTGAGCCAATCTCACTATCTCTAAGAAACCTAATCTCATTACCCGAGTTACTATGTCAATGCATCTCATCCAGGGTCTTCCCACTGATCCATGTTACAGAATCAAGATCTATGGCCTAGGAAAACTGTTTTAAACAAAAGACCCACAATGTCATACTAAGGAACTCAGTAACTTAGAAAGTTATTAGGCACCTCACCTTTCTAAAACTAAGACAAAGTAGAAAATACATTTTACATTAAAATATCATTTAATGTTCACAATACTGTTTTCAGGATCATGTTTTTAGGAACCATGGCACAATTTTTTATGAAATTCATAACTTGCTATGAAAATAACCTACTTCAAAGAGTATGTCTAACTCCTATTTTTTTCAGATCAGAAAAGAACTACAGTAAAGGTGAGAAATAGGCTCTAAAAGAAAATGCAAAAATGTTAACTTAACAATTAAATTCTAGTTACTTAGCTTTCAAAGAAGCAAGAACTTTAATAGTAGGGAAAGGAAGAAAAAAACATACATGCGCGCGCACACACAGACACACACACACACACACACACACACACACACACACAAACATTTATTACTGAAAGCTCTTACCTGTAGGAAAGGCAGCCCAAGGAATAGCAGGAGATGTGGTTTGGGTTTCACCATTTCCACTATCAAAAGTCTCTGCAGCCTATAAAATAAGGATGAAATTACATTAAGATTTCAAAAGTAGAGATACCATTTATAGACTAAGTCTGTCAGTTCTATAAACATATCAGATCAGAGAAGAACAAGTGTAATGGTGAGAAATAGTTTTGCAAAAAACAAGTGTATCTGTAAAACACTATACACTTTCAAATTCCCTCAGGACACTCAAGCGCTTTTCAATTTTCATTGACACCATATCCATTATTAGTCTACATCTGTAGTATCCATGCTTTATTATCTTAAGTAAAATGTTTCCTTTCCTACATATATTTAGCTATTGCCATTGAAATTTCTATTTTAAATATCTGATATTGAAGACTAGAGCTCACTTTGGGGCTGTACCCCTCAGCTACTCATGTTGTTGCTGTGTACCGTTGAGTCGGAACTAACCCACAGCTGACCCTCCAGTGGATTTTCAGAGATAGTTAATTGCACAGGAGACTGCCCATCCTTCTCCTGCAGAGCAACTGGTGGATTTGAAGCACATGCCTTTGGGATTGTAGCATCGTTTCTACCACTAAGCCACCAGAGTTTAACATCTGATTATTGCTAATCTTCTCTTACAATAGTAACCTAATTCAAATCTGGTCTGAAGCAAAACCAGTTTGAATCAGCTCCTGGAGCATGCACCACTATCAATCTAGAGCAGACATTTCCAAGCATGAACTTTAGCTATCTATCCGATAAGGAATCAAACTGAAGGACCTTGCTCCACAGTGCATGCCTAACATCCTGTAATAAATGATACCTCTTGACACAGAAGTCTCTTCAACAGTATCCATCTTGGAAAGCTACCTCCATCTGCACCTACCTATAAACTCCTCCTACACAGGTAATTTCTTAGTATTCTCCCCCCCTTTTATGAATAAGCATGAAATTTCTTCCCACATAGATCTCCTTAAAAATTTTCACACTCTTTTGTTCAGTAAATTGTAGGTTAATTTTTCTTCACGCCTCAACATCTTTCCTTGTAAGGTCATCCTTCTTTCAATGTATTTTCTTTTTAAATAAACTCTCTGTAGGGGCAAATCAAAACCACGATAAGGTACCATCTCACCCCAGTAGCAGTGGTAAAGTTAACAGGACAACAAGTAATAAATGCTGGGAAGGATGTGGAGAGATAGGAACTCTTACACACTGTTGGTGGGACTGCAAAATGATACCACCACTCTGAAAAGCAGTTTGGCATTTTCTCAGAAAGCTGAAAATAGAAATTCTATATTACCCAGCTATCCCATTGCTTGGAATATACCCTTTGAAAATGAGAACTGAGGCAGAAACAAAGACTTGTATACCAATGTTCATAGCAGTGTTATTCACCATAACAAGAACATGGAAACACCCCAAATGTGTAACTACAATTGAATGGACTGAGAGTCACAACACGGTACATTCATTCATACTACACAGCATGCAGAAACAATGACTCTGTACATCGCTCCCTAACCTGGGAGGGACTAGAAAGCATTATGCTAAGCAAACTAACTCAGTCCCATAAGGACAAATACTGTATAAGACCATAATTGTAGAATGTGTGTGAGGATCCAAGTTGGGGAGGGGGAGATCTGAGGAGTGAGGATGTGCAAGGGAGGGGTGCAGTTTAATATAGGGTCTCACAATATATATGAATTTTATAAGTAAACCAATATAAAATAAAAATTTTATTTAAAAAATAAATAAATTGCTTGTATGAAAAGTTTTGGTGTCTCAGTCATTTTTGCTAATGGGAGAAAAGACTTGAAATTTGAAAAGTAGTTATAACATATTCTTAAATTTCATTTTAAATCATAATCAGCTTGAAAACAACTAACAAACACAACGCAATTGCATTGTCCTTTGTAGATTTACTATGCAAGTCCTCTATTTGGAGCTCTATTTGGGGGTCTACCAGGTAGAGCGTTGTACTGTTAACCCAAAAGCGGTACCTCACTGGTGGTTTTAATCCAAAAGCAGCTTTAAAGAAGAAATACTGGCACTTTTCTCCCTTGTGTGATTTATAGCCTCTGACAACATGCTTGAAAATCAGCCATGAGTTGGTTCTGACTCGATGATAATAATGAAGTGTCATTTCTTTTTTTTTTTAAGAATATTGTAATTCAACATATTATTCACCATTTTTCCTAAACATCTACAATTTTGCCAAAGACCAAATCTTTTTCGTCAATCAGTGCAAAACCTAACTGTAAACCAATCAGAAGAAACAAGATTAATATATTTTCTTCACTAATTTGAAAGCTGGACTTACCAGCTTTCAACACTACAGATTTTCTAAGGATATTTTCCTTTAACAAGCCCCGCTACTTAATAATTTAAAAACAGTAGGATTAATTACGACTCGACGGCATTAAACAACAACAACAACAAGGATTAATTAATTAGTTAATTAATTAATGGATGTTGAGATTATAGGTAAGAGTACATAATTTTCTGTTTGTTGAGCAACTTAAACTTAAGAACTCATAGCTGTCGAGTCAGAACCAACTCACAGCTGACCGACCCTCCAGTGGCCACAAGAACTAAATGGCATAGAAGAATACAGTAGGCACTCTCTATATACTATTAAAAAAAAAATGAATACATTTTATAAATCCAAACACATAGATCTTCCACATTTCTACAACAGGATTAAGAAAGAAACACAATAACCACAATTAAAATATAATAATAATCACAATTAATTTGTAACGGTTAGTTAACTGTTGAACTCTGGTGGCTTGGTCTCTAAGCAGCTGAGCTTTACCTCAAATGCCACACCTCTCTGGGGGCTCAAATACACTAGCAGCTTCATAAGATAAATATGGGCAATCTCTTCTAGTGAGATTTACAGTCTTTGAAAACCCACTGGAGAGTCAGCTATAAATCCATTCTGACCCAACAGCAAGGAGTTTGAGTTTCGGTGTTTTGGGTTTTTTTAGTTAGTACTGTACTATGTTGTTGTTATGTGCAGTCAAGTCACTGTGATTCATACCTACCCCATGGACAATAGCCCTAAAACCTAGCCTAGGCTCTATCCTGACCAACTTTACTGTCTCTGATACATCTACTGTCATTACACTAGTCACTGAAACAATCCATCACATTGAGTCTTCCTCTCTTTGTCCCTCCACCCTTCTAAGAATGATATCCCTCTCCAAGGATTGGTCCCTCCTTGCAACATGCCTAAAGTATGTCAGACGAAGCCACAGAATCCTTGCCTCAAAGGACCCACCTACTTTCTGCCTCTTCAGGAAAAACTGTTCTCCTGGTAGTCCACGGCATATTCAACACTCTTCTCCAGAACCACAGCTCAAAGGCATCAATTCTCTTCCTATCATCCTTAGTTATTGCCCAGCTCTCTTTCTGATGTATTGCAAGCAACTGCAAAAACTATGGCTTGGATCAGGCATACCTTAGTCTCCAGACTGATGTCATTGTTCTTCAATACTCTAGAGAGGTCGCTAACAACAGACTTTCCCAATGCAATTAATCCTTTTATTTCCTGGCTGCTGATACCAAGAGTGGTGATTGTGGAGCCAAACAAACTAAAGCTTTTAACAAATCTCAATCTCTTTACTATCTATCATGCTTCCAATCAACCTTGTGGTAAGCATCTTAGTTTTCCTGATGTTGAGCTTCAATCCATATTGAAGGCTGTAGTCCTAGACCTTCTGCAACAAGGGCTTCAGGTTCTCCTTGGTTTCAGCAAGCAGGGTGTGTCATCTGCATAACACAGGTTGTTGATGAATATTTCTCCAATTTTGATGCCACATTCTTCCTAATAGAGCCCAGCCTCCTGGATAATCTGTTCTGCATATAAACTGAAAAGATATGGAGATAGGCACATCCTTCCAAAATTCTGAACCATGCAGTGTTTCCTTACTCTCTTCTGACAGCTGCCCCCTGGTCCAAGTATAGGTTTTATGTAAGCACAATCAAATGTTCTGGGATTCCCATTCTTCTCAAAGTCAGCCACAGTTCACTGTGATCCACATATTCAAACGCCATTACATAGTCAATGAAACACAGACAGACATTTCTCTAGGACTCCGTTTTCAGCCAAGATCCATCTAACATTAGCTATCCCTAGTACCACAGCCTCTTCTAAATCCAGCCTGCACATCTGGCAGTTCTCTGTTAATGTACTGTTCCAGTTGTTTCTGGATAATTTTCAACAGAATTTTGCCTGCATGTGATATTAATGATACTGTTCAATAATTTCAGTACCTTGGGTCACCTTTCTTTGGAATGGGAACAAATACAGATCTCTTTCAGTCAGATGACCAGGTGGTTGTCCTCCATATTTCTTGGCACAACTGAGTAAACACATCCAAAGCCACATCTGTTTGTTGAAATATGCAAATTGGTATGCCGTCAATTCCTGGGGCCTTGGTTTTTTGCAAATTCTTTCAGAGAAGTTTGAACTTCCTTCATCACCAAAGGCTCTTAGTCATATGTTCTTTCATTAAATGCTTCTATGTCCATCAATTCTTTTTGGTACAGTGACTCTGTATACGTCTTCCATCTTCTTTTAATACTTCCTGGATCATTCAAAGCATCCTTAAGTATTGCAACCGGAGGTTTGAATTTGTTAAAACTCCTTCAGCTTAAGAAATGCTGCATCAGTTCAGCCTTTTTGAGTTTCTGACTCCACTTCTTTGTACATTTCATTATAATACTTTGCTTTGTCTTCATACACCGTCTTCTTGTCTTCTTGTGCTGGGATGGAGGGAAGGATAGTAAGAGCAAACTACTCTTAACACTAACAATTTCACTTCATTGTTGTAATTCAGGAAATATGTTCCTTATAATATTACTTAAACAAGAGAGAGAATCTTGGGCTCTAATCTTTAAATAACTGGAAAGGTCTAAATAAACTACATTAAATGATATCTGAAAAAACTAAGCTAGATAATACCTCTTTTCCTAAAAATAAAAAATTATGTCATATTTCAGGTACCTAAATAAGACTCAGTTTGGATGGTGAAGAGATTGAGATTGTACACAGCTTTAGTTTGCTTGGCTCCACAGTCAACACTCTTGGCACCAGTAGCCAGAAAATTAAAAGGTGCACTGCCATGGGAAAGCCTGCTGTTAGGGACCTCTCCAAAGTACTGAAGAGCAATGGTGTCTGTCTGGAAACTAAGGTGCGTTTGATACAGGCCATGGTCTTCGCAATCACTTGTTACGCATCAGAGAGCTGGACAATGACCAAAGAGGATAGAAGGAGAATTGATGCCTTTGAGCTGTGGTGCTGGAGAAGAGTGTTGAGAATACCATGGACTGCTAGGAAAACAAACAGATTTGTCCTGGAAAGGGTTAAACCGGGTGGCTCCTTGGAGGCAAGGATTCTGAGGCTCTGTCTAACATACTTTGGACATGTTGTGAGGAGAGACCGGTCCTTGGAGAAGGACATCATGCTTGGGAGGGTGGAGGGACGGCGCAGGAGGGGAAGGCCCTCTATGAGGTGGATTGATTCAGTGACTGGGATAATCAGAATGGGAGTGTCAGAGACAGTGCGATTGGCACAGGACAGAGCAGAGTTTAGGGCTGTTGTACATAGGGTCGCTATGAGTCGCAAGCGACTCGATGGCACATAACAACAACAACAAATAAGACTCAATCATTTAAAAAAACCACAAAATACTGAAAGCAAAGTAAAGTAAAAGATACACTAAGTTGTTAAAAAAGAACTAGGTTTAGATGATACTTAGAGAGGAGGTTTGTCAATATTCTAAATATCTTCACAGTAATAAGAACTTTAGCAGACGAGAAAATGACTCAAACCTAAAACCAACACCTCTTACATGGTATTTAAAACTCTGAACATATACTTATATTCTCTTTCTTCCATTAATGTCATTAATTACTTTCCTTATTTTTTTACTTTTTTTCACCAAATTCCAAAGTGGGTAAAAGTCCTGTTTAAAGAAAAAAAACCAAAACCACAAGGCTCACTTGATGGCGGTTTCAGGATTTGAGCTCAGGCATCCTGACTCCTAATCCAGAGATTTTCCTGCAAAACTATACTGGTTCCATAAAAATAACTGGGTTATAAAATATTTCAATAAAATGAACACACACTGAAAAGGATTAAGAAAAAGACAGTACTTCTTTAACTAATAATTTCCACTTACAAAGCGTTCAACCTAAACCTGACAAAATAATAACACATACATACTAATTAGTTCCATGAAATACCAAAAGGCTATATACTTAATATACTAACTGAACTCATTACAGGTGTAAACATGAAAATATGTGACAGGAGTTTCAATACCCATCTCTCAGCTCACAAGAATTTCCTAATAGACAAGTATCCCAGCAAAATCATCTGGTGACAATTTTTTAAAACCTCTTTTTTAATCCTTCCACTGGTAACACTTAATTATCTTATTTCAGCCGTTCCTATGGGCAAGACTGACTGTTCAATAATAATAAATCAGGCTTAACTTTCAAAAGGGAGATTAAAATTTTCTTTTACTTCAACTCCAGAGTTTCATTCAAAATATTCAAGAAAACATTTCTAATCCCTATTGTAAGTAGTACATTTTCAAAATTGTTTACTCTGCTACAAATTTAAACTGTTGTTTAAGTTAAGTAATAAATAACACATACCTCAAAGCCACCAAAATCATCATCATCCATTTTTCAAGTAGAACCTAAAAAATATCAAAACACATTAAAAAAAACCACACACAAACTCATTTATGTCAAAACTTTTGTACTTAAATGTACATATACTTTTTGTAACATTAAAAACACTTCATTTACATTAATGAATATTACATTTTTTAGCTGTTATCTGTACATGCATTTCTAATGCAAGAAGAGTTGAGTAATCGGATTTTACTTTCTGGCAAAATTAGCACTTTCTGTAACTTTTTCAACAGCCATGTATTTTGCCATTTTATGTTTCGAAGCCAGGAGTGGAAAAATATTCTTTTACATTTTAATTTGCTTTTCCCAAATTGGCGCTGGGGCTCAATTCAATAATGCTTCCTGCTTTTTGCATCTATTCCTCAGTTGTCTGGCAACATCAGCATAAACTCAAGCTAAGAACAGGACTGTGGTGAATTTTTGGAAATCTGTCCCCCACCACAAAGGTTCTTCCCTGGGTTTCATGGCCGAGGCTGATTTAGATTTTCAAAATTGATCAGCATTTTTGAGCTGTGGCCACAACTTTTGGAGCATTTTGATATGTGTATTTTTAGCTGAAACTGCTTTGCACTTTCGGAAAAATGTGGAGCAAGTTACTAGGCTGATCAAGATAAATCAAGTCATGTATTCAGGGGAGACTAAACCAAAACCAAACTCATTGCCGTTGAATTGATTCCGATTCATAACAACAGTACAGGACAGAGAATCGCCCCATAGTGTTTCCAAGGTATGTAATCTTTATAGACGCACACTGCTGCAACTTTTCTCCCTAAATGGGAGACCCGTTTTGTTGGTGTGTACTTTCAAGTCACAAGCAACCCATCGCTGACCCTCTTGTGGGTTTTCAGAGGAAGTGAATTGTGCAGGAGGAGACTGCTTTCTCCTACAAAGCAGCTGGTGGATCTGAACTGCACTGCCTCTGAGGTGACAGTGCAACTCTTTATTTACTCAGCCACCAAAGAGTAGGGATGGAAAAACACAAGAGAACACCCAACATTTCTCTCCTCCTTTCCTTTAATGTATGTTAACAAGCATAAGGGAGCTCTGGTGGCCTAGCGACAAGAAGCTGCACTGCAATGCCAGAGTTAGGAGGTTTGAATGCACCAGATGCTCTGCTGGAGAAGGAGGGGAAATCTCCTCCTGTACAAGTCAGATCTGATTTGACGGTACACACACACACAAAATAATAAAATAAAAATTAAAAAAAAACCAAGCTTAGTAATAGTATCTGTTTTAAATTGCCAAAAATGTATGTCATAACTATGCAAGGAGTAAACCATTAGTATCAGACCTTAAATAAATAAACCCTTACCTAATAAATCTAGAAGGAAATAACACCATATGAAAGAGAAAAAAGTAGTAGGTAATACAATAATCCCACTCACTGCCACTGAGTTGATGCTAACTCATGCCCACCCACTCGTGGGGTTCTGAGGCTGTAAATCTTTACAGGAGGAGACTGCCCATCTTCCTCCTGTGAGTAGCTGATGGATTCATATCACTGACTTTTCAGTAAACAGATTAATATATCACCAGGGTTCCTTAATAAATAAAATATAAAAAGGAAATTCTTAAACAGATGCTGCCCCCCCAGTCTATGATTTTAAACCTGTAGTTGAGAACTGGTAGCTGCAAGTGATAGTCTGTTAACTGGTGTCTTGTTCTATTTTCTTAAAAAAAAATGAACATATTCAAACATTAACTACATTTTGTTTATTCCATAATTCAAGATGGACTTAATTACAGGAAAACAATCCTCCCTAACCTCTAAAAAACACTAAATAAATTAAACTATTCATCAAGAAAAAATGCTCTAATATCTCTTGCTTTAAGGGATGAAGCAGTATGATTTGTAACCACACTTAGCCTTCACACATAACACTAATGCCTGGGAAAAATAAAATACTTATCACCAGAATTGTTTTGTTTTAATAGGCAAAAAAAATTTCTTTTCATAATAATTCATTAAATAAGGACACTAAAAACAATCTATGTAGACAGAAATAATTATAAAAGGGGCATTAAATTAACTAATATTATCATCATTCCCACAACTTAACAAACAATGAAATATTTAAAAATGCATTCATCCAAATATTAAAGTTACTCACATATAACAGTTAAAAATATAAACCATACTTTCAGAAAATTTTTGGTGGTAGTTAGCCAGCAATGGAATTCACACTCATTTGTGTTGCAAGCAAATAAAATCTGTATGTGATTACACTTTTCATAAAGAAATTATGAAAAAAGAGTTATAGAGATACTGAGAATTAACCAAGTCAAACTAAAACACTATGTTTGTCTTTTCTACATGTATCCTATGAATCTCAGGAGAATATTAAAGGTTATTTTTAGCTTTTGAAAAGGCAGTGCCCAAATACTATGGTTTCAAAAGAATGAAATTTTTAGAGTAATGTTTCTATGTGTTTTCATAAATCATATCCCAATAAATTACTTGTAAGGTGCCAGAAAATTTGAAAACAAAAACAAATACTCCTGTCTAACAATGATTTCAGCTTGTTTGCTTGTGGTAATAAACCCAAACCATCAGTATCCTAACTACAGATTTAGCTCTACAAAAGAACATATTAGTGACCACTGATATTTTCCATCTTCCAGAAATTTTCACATATGGGAATACTGGGTGAGCTCTGGTGGCCTAGCGGTAGGAAACTGCACTGCAATCCCAGAGGTGCGTGGTTCAAATCCACCAGATGCTCTGCTGAAGAAGGAGGAACAATTGCCTCCTGTACCAGTCAGATCCAATTTGACAGTACACACATACAAAGAATAAATAAATAAATAAAAATTATCTAAAAAAAAAAAAAGAGAATACTGATAAAACTCTCTTTCTCTTCTAAGAATATTAAGACTTTTTTTAAATGAGACTAAGTTTCATAAAATAAACAATATGAGAAATAAATATTACTCATTTTAAATCAATAACTTTGATTTCTAATCTTTTAATAATTTGTGTCCTGATAATTTTTGCAAATTGGAGAAATTAAAACTAGCAGTACTGTTCATAAAAATCCATTTTGAAAAAAATAAATTATAAATTTTAAAAATATTAACTGTGCTACACAAATACATTTAAACTATAGCTATCTGTGTTTCTCTTTTGTTCAAAGGGTTTTCAAAGACCCATCCTGATTCTTACTTTGTTTTAACTGGGAGCTCCAGTAAAACTTTTAAAACTATGGGTAAGGTAACTCTTCTGGCATTTGACACACTGATGACACAGCTTTCAGCATCATAATAACCCACAGGTTATCTCGGTACAGCAAACAGACAGACAAAAGTTGTACTAATTATAACAAAGATAAACAAGCAAGAAAACAAAAACCCAAGCTATAAAATAATTTAGCAATATGCAGATCAATGCCCCAATACATCAAACAGACAAAGAAGCCTTGCATTTTAGGAGACCCCATGTCCAAATTCCAGGTATCAGCTTTAATGGAAGGCTTTCTCTCTCTGGCTGTTCTGGAGGAAGGTCCCTGTCTTAGGGCTCTGCTCCAGTACCATCTCGCTATGACTTAGTTTATATTCTCTTACAGCAAATCAGGTACATGAAATATCAGGCCAGGGCCCATTTGAGGCCAGTGGCAGGATATCAGGATGAGGCCATGGGTGGGAGCCTTCTAGCTGAGGTAGATGGCTGGCTCAGCAGGATAATACCCCAGATGAGGATGATTATGAAATTGGATCCTACGAGGCTGGGTCCTGTATGCTGGTGCTCCACACTTGATCAAAAAGCTGTATGTTTGAGGGTCAGAACAGAGGCAAGGTATAAAATGCTTTCTTGTGTTGCCACTGCTCACTTGCTCTAAGCTCAATAGTGCTAAGCAAGGCCTGGATATAGTATTAAAGGTAGAACACAGATTTAAAGACAATAAAAATGAGGAGAAACAGCTACAATTATCCTTTAATAGTTGGAATATGGAATGTAATGAGCATGAATGTTGGAAAAGTCGAAGTCGTAAAAATGAAATGGGATGAACATCAGCATCGGAGGCATTTGTGAGATGATATGGACTGGCGTTGGCCACTTTGAATCAGATAATCACATGGAATGAAGCCAGGAATGAAAAAGAGTCAAAATGGAAAAAAAATTAAAAAATTTAAAAAAAAAGACTCAGAATGGTGTTGCATTCATTGTCAGACAATTTCAAGTTTTATCTTCAAGTACAATGTTGTGAGTGATATGATATTATCTATACACATAAAAGGAAGACTTGTTAACACAACTATTATTCAATTATATGCATCAACAGCTAAAGCCAAACAGGAAGAAATAGAAAATTTTAGTCAAATTTTGCAGTCCAAAATTGATCAAACATGCAATTAATAGATGTATTAATGAAAATTGGTGATTGGAATACAAAAGTTGGAAATAATGAAGGGAGAAAGGTAGCTGGAAAGTACAAACTTGGAGAAATGGGGCCAGAAATAGAATGACTGAATAATGTACAATCTCTGATTTATCCATCACAAATACCTTTTTTAAAAAAATCACGTATTTTGACTTTATAGATGGACTTCACCAGATGGACTGCAGAGAGATCAGACTAACTACATCTGTGGTAGAAATCATTAGAGCAGCTCAAATAATCAGCAAAGCCACACGATTGTGCTGATTATGAAACAGATCATCAATACTCCTGGGCAAGTTCAAATTGAAGCTGAAGAAAATGAAGATAAGCCTCCAAAAACCAAAATATGATCTTGAGTCTATCCAACCTAAACTTAAAAATCACCTTAAGAATAGATCTGAAAGCTGAATGGAGAAATTCCATATGACCAAGCTATTCCACTGTTTGGAATATACACTGAGAAATTGAGAACTGAGGCACAAATGGAAATTCATAGCAGCGTCATTCACCCTCACAAGAATACGGAAACAGCCCAAGTGTCCAACCACAATCAAACAGATTGAGAAATTATGGTACATTCACAAGATGGAATACTATGCAACATGTAGGAAAAACGATTTTGAAA